GAGCCCCTCGGCTGGGTTAAGGCGGTTGCGGGTACCGCCCCAGGAGCGGCCCCCATGATGCAGCACAGCCCCGGACTCCACTTCCCAGCACCGCCCGGGCGCCACGCGACGATCCACGTCCCAGAATGCCGTGGGAGGGCCCCGCCTCTCCGCCTGGCCCCGCCCCTTCCGCTCGACCTCCGCGCGCCTGGGGGATTTAGCTATCGCCGGCTGCAGGTCCTGAGCTGCCTGGCAGGTGGAGTAGGGGGCGGGTGGGGTAGGGCGCTGGTGAGACGGCTCTGGCTACCTAGGGAACTCCCGAGGGCGCGGCCTGGCGAGCCGGGGCCAGGCCCTGGGAACCGTGACAGAGCGCTGAGGGGTGCTGGGACCTCGGGGTCGTGGGAGGAGCCGGTGGGTGTGGGAGCGGACCCGCGGGCATGGAGGTAGCCCTGGGCCTGAGGAGTGATGGGGGCGTGGTAGGGGGCTTGGACGCTGTGGGGTCTTCCCCACAGGCCTGTGCGGTCGCGAGCAGCAGATGTCTGGACAGGGCCCCTCTGGTCGGGGCTGGACGCGGGATCCTGCAGCGGGGTCAGAGGCGTCCTGTAGGGGCCCAAGCAAATTTCCACCCCCTAGGATAGGGTTCTCGAGGGTGGTGGTGCACCTGAGGTCCCTCCAGTTCTGAGCCAGAAGCACGACCTACCCAGGAGGACCTGGGCCGGCAAAGGCTTTCAGCGACCAGGCGGCCGCCGGTTCCTCGTCTGTAACACACAGGCTTTAATCGGGAGCCCCCAGCCCCAAAGTTATCTGCCTCCCATCGTGTCAGCCCAAGGGGAGCCAGTGCTCCCTGTCTCAGCCCAGTGGGTGTCTGTGTTGGGCCTACAGGGTGGAACCTGCACAGGCTCTCCTGGCTGGTGGTAACCCGGAGGCCCCCGCGTGGTTCTAGGCAGAAGGCTCCCTGAGGAATGGGGCTGGGAGGAGAGGATGATTCGGTCCAGCTGAGTCTCTCTGGTCCCCAGTGGGCGTCTCTCCTCCCGAAGCGCATCATCCTGTGCCAGTTGCCCCAGAGAGCCCTGGGCCAGCCCTTGAACAGTTGTGGGGCCCAGGGCCAAGGGCAGTGACCCCAAGCAGGGGCATCTCAGGGGAGTTGATGATGTTGGGAGCACGATGGCCTCAGCCTCGCCCTTTGGCCCTACAGGTGCAGCTGACATGGGTGAGCCCCGGGGGTCCGTGCGGATCCTGGTGACAGGGGGCTCTGGGCTGGTGGGCAGAGCCATCCAGAAGGTGGTAGCAGATGGGGCCAGGCTGCCCGGAGAGGAATGGGTGTTTGTCTCCTCCAAGGACGCCGACCTCACGTGAGTGGGCCCATTCCTAGAGCGCCCCCATAGGCCGCTTCAGACAGAGCTCCGAACCAGGCCTGTCCTTGAGCTTGGTGGCCTCATGTCTGCACCCTCCGCACCAGATGGCTGGTGTGGCCTGGGTGGGTGCAGTTCTGCTCCTAGGCAAACACCCTCCCATCTCTTCCTGGAAGCCAGCGCCCTCACAGCGGCCGGTGCCTGAACTGGCCACTTTCCCTTTGGCAGTCTATCCGCCATCAGCCCTGTCCAGTTTCTGTCCCCAGTACCTCAGTCCCAGGGTGCTAGTTCCCTCAGGCCTTCAGGGGACCCCTGATGGCCCGGCTCCTTCCAGGGACGCTGCACAGACCCGAGCCCTGTTTGAAAAGGTTCGGCCCACACACATCATCCATCTTGCTGCGATGGTGGGAGGCCTGTTCCGGAATATCAAATACAATTTGGACTTCTGGGTAAGTGAGGGGCCCAAACGAGTGCTGCAGCCAGGAGCTGGGCTCTGGGAACTTCCTGGCCAGCTTCCCACGTTCATGTTCTGGCCCCAGGAAGTCCCTGGGGGTCAGGGCTAGGCACAGCCTGATGGGGGCCCCCAATGACCCACACTTGACCTGTAGGAAGAGGGGCGTACAGGCGGACCTGGGACATTTGACCTAATGTGACCCGACTGGTGGGTTCGGGGAGCTGAGAGGAGTCAGTGTTCTCTGTGTGGCTTGGGGCTGCTCCCTGTCTCCACTCCGGCCTGCTCCCAGGATCTCTCTGGTCCCGCTGCACTAAGCGAGTCCCAGCACGCGCTCCAGGGTACAGAGGTGTGAACTGGGTGCTGGGTCTGCGCTGTGTGCCCCGTGGTGGGGGGCAGGAGGAGATTGGGGTTCTGCAGGCTGCACTGCTGCACCGTCTCCAGGCAGCTGGCCTTGGCATGGTTTGGCCCTGCATCAGGCACTGGGGTGGCAGAGGCTCAGACCGGATTCTGCCCTGGGGGCCCCTGTCACCCTGGGCCCACCTTGTCTCAGCCACAGCCTTCCCAGCAGGCTGCCTAACTGCCACCTCTCCCTTCTCCCCAGACCAGTCCAAATGCCCTGGCCATCTCATATCCAATTTCCAGAAGGAGAGGTGGGGCCCCAGGAGTGTGGGGCTGGCCCAAGGCTTCACTGCTCCTAGGCACCTGTGGGGCTGGTGGCTGGAGGGGCCCCTTCTACCTCAGGGCCAGATCACGCGAGCTCTATTCCTCTCTCAGCAGCCCTGTGGATGGGGCCCAGCCTTGAGCTGAGGGGTGCAGCCCTCCTCCAGGACCCTGGGAAGGCAGGGCCAGACCCTCCTACAGCCCCAGAAGGGTTCTTCCAGCTATGGGTGTAATAGGACAGGGAGCAAGCAAAGGCTCCATCCTGCCCTGGGGAAGCAGTTAGGACAAGGAGGCTCAGGTACTGCCCAGGTCAGAGGGCCAGGGTATGTCTCGCTTCCGCTGAGGGAGCAGGTAAGGGCTGGGGTCTTGCCTGGAAGGCCTGAACCCGTCACTGACCCCCCCACCCCCATCAAGAGGAAAAACATGCACATCAACGACAACGTCCTGCATTCCGCCTTCGAAGTGGGAGCCTGCAAGGTGGTCTCCTGCCTGTCTACCTGCATTTTCCCTGACAAGACCACCTACCCTATCGATGAGACCATGGTGAGAGGGGAGGCCGGCTGGGGGCGGGGCCTGGGCTGGGGCGGGGCCTGGAAGCATAGGTTTTCTCTGCTTCGCCAGATCCACAACGGGCCCCCGCACAGCAGCAACTTTGGCTATGCCTACGCCAAGCGGATGATTGACGTGCAGAACAGGTCCTCCACCTGTCCACCTGGGGCCAGCCAGGAGTGGGGGAAGAGGGCCGCGTGCCCCCGGGTGGGTGGGGCCCTGCGGGTACCCGGTGGGCCTCCCCGCCCTCATCTCCCTCGCTTGCCAGCCTCCGGCTAAGAAGCCAGGGAGGGGTGGGTGGGTGGTCCCAGGGCGAGGGCCGGAGGACACGCGGTGCCTCTGCAGGGCCTACTTCCAGCAGCACGGCTGCACCTTCACGGCGGTCATTCCCACCAATGTCTTCGGGCCCCACGACAACTTCAATATTGAGGACGGCCACGTGCTGCCGGGCCTCATCCACAAGGTGCACTTGGCCAAGAGTGAGTGCCTGCCGCCCAGCACCGACCAGGTCACGGTCCTCTTGGGGTTCCTGGGTCTCAGCTGGGAGGAGTGTGGTGGCTGGCACAGCCAGCTCTGACACCCGCCCTCCCCGAATCCACAGGCAGCGGCTCAGCCCTGACGGTGTGGGGCACAGGGAGGCCTCGGAGGCAGTTCATCTACTCCCTGGTTCGTGCAGGAGGGTGCACGGTTGTCCCCACAGTGTCTCCCTGGGCCTGCCATGCTGGCTGTGGGGAGGGTCTGAGCCCCTGTAGGCGCCTGGCCCCATGGAAGTTTTGGGTGCAGCTCTGAACTCAGTGGGAGAAAGGACTCGGCCATTGGGGCAGAGCTGGCCGAGGACTGCCCAAAGGGAGGAGCCCCTGGCCCTAGTGGGGCCTGCCCTATGCCCCCATTGGACAGGTATGCGCAGGAGAGGTGCCCTGTGGTCTCGTTTGGCCGTCACTGGTGGCCTTTAACCCTGCCTGTCTGATGCCAGGACCTGGCCCGGCTCTTTATCTGGGTCCTGCGGGAGTACAGTGAGGTGGAGCCCATCATCTTGTCAGGTGGGCATCCTGCAGCCCCACCCCACCGCATCTGTGGGACGTTCTTGGGGGGGGGCGTGGCAGGGGCCAGGCAGAGGGAGCCTGACCCTGTCCAGGACCTCTCTCTCCCCACAGTGGGCGAGGAGGACGAGGTTTCCATTCAGGAGGCAGCCGAGGCCGTGGTGGAGGCCATGGACTTCCACGGGGGCATCACCGTATCTTTTGGCATATCTAGTGGGCACTGGGGGCCTCCCCTCCCTGCCAGAGGCTGTGGTCTGGTCTGGCACATGGTGGTGCTCACCCTGGCCGCTGGGGCTTGGTATGCCGCTCTGTCCCAGAGCTCCCCAGGGAAGGGCAGAGGAAGGTGGAGGAGGGGGTGGGGGCTGCCCTTCTGCTCTGACCTTGACCAGGCCCCCAGTTTGATACAAGCAAGTCAGACGGGCAGTTTAAGAAGACAGCCAGTAACGGCAAGCTGCGGGCCTACCTACCGGACTTCCAGTTCACGCCCTTCAAGCAGGGTGAGGCCCCTGCCCCTCCCTGGGCCTCAGCTTTCTACTGCCACCTGGGGGTGGATGCCTTGCCATTTGGGTCTTCAGACCTTCATCTGGGCCGCAGGACACAGGGGTGACTGCCTTACATCACTGGGGGCGGCACCCTCCCTACCTCCCATGGAGGTCGGTGCAGCTCTGGCCCTCGCCTGCCCTCTGCAGCTGTGAAGGAGACCTGTGCCTGGTTCACCGACAACTACGAGCGGGCCCGGAAGTGAAGCATGGCAGGGCCGGCACCCGCCTCCCTTAGGCCAGTCAGCTGACAGAGCCCAGTGGCAACCACCCTCAGTCCCTGCCAGGAGTCCAGGGCACTGCCCACGACGTGGGCCCACGTTCCACGCCTCCGCCAGGGTGGCTCCCGGAAGCTGTCCAGCAAGGCCACCACTCCTATTCACCCTCAGGGATCCCAGGCCTGGCCAGGCCTGGCAGCTGGCTCCCCGGCGCCAGTGCCCGAGTTCTGAGCGTGTCTACTGATCTTGCTCTCCCACCCCCGGGAGCCAATAAAGTGCATTTCACAGGCCTGGTCCTGGCAGCTCTGTGCCCCCTGTGCCCCACACCAGGCACTGCCTCCCCGAGCCTGGCCAGCCCCAGGACCCACTGTCTCCCTGTTGACCGCTCAGCCTCCAAGAGCTGCTGGCCAACTGTCCCTGGGGCGGCGGAAGCCAGAGATATGGAGAGGCAGGTGTGTGGGCAGGAAGCAGGCAGGCCTCGGGGGTGAGAAGGGGTGGACTGTTGGCCAGTGGGATATAGGCAGAACATTTCCTGCGGAGGCCATGTCCATGGCCATGAGCAGGCCTGATGACCTGCGCTCCCTTGAGCTCCCTTCAGCCCCAGGGCTTTTGGGGAAAGAGGCTGGATCTGGCAGAGTGGGGTGGATCTGAGGAGAGGATGGTGAGTGGGTGGCTCAGCCTTTCCTGGGACTGTAAGAGACAGATGGGCCCGGCCTGGGTGATGGGGCCTCGCCTGCCCTTCTCCCACGGACAGTAACAGGTGTCACCCGGGAGTGCCCGCTGGGCCTTGTGGGCAGAAAGGTGAGTGGCACGGGCTTCCCATTCTATTTGAGCAGGGCAAAGTCCAGACAGGTTGAATGACAGGTACCCTGGCCAGCCAGTCAGTGCTGGGCCATGGGTCTAGGAGTACCCAGCTCCAAAGCCCCCCAGGCCAGTGCCTGATGGACTGCCTGCCCGGGACCAGGCACCTTCCCCGGCCTGAGGCCTGCCTTTCCTCAGGGCCCCTCCTGCCCAGGGCCCTTTGCCACCTTCGTGCCGATGACTCCCAGCTTTCTTCTTACCCAAATGTGCCTGCCACGTCCATTCCTTCCTACCACTCATGCAGGTGGTGGTGGCCGTCTTCCCTATTCCAGGCACACGAGTCCCAAACTCTCTCCCCGAGTCCAGCTGCCCTCACTGCATTCGTCACCTCCTCGCTCTCCGGCAAGCCCAGGTGTTCATTCCTTGGGCCTCCCCAGCTGGCCCCAGTGCCCTTCTCGTGTCAGTGCCTCCCTGCCTTTTAGGTTCCAGCTGAGGTCCTTTCTCTCTGAACCCCCACATTGCTATGCAAGGTTGCCCATCCGCTGTCCGGAAACTCCTGGGAGCCCCTTCTCCCCTCGGGACTTGGACCTCCAGGTCCCAGGTCCACCCTTTGCTGATGAAGGCTCTGCCTGTGTCAGGGTTGGGCGGGGGGTGGTGCCTGAGGTGGAGCTGGATCAGCCAGGTGAGAACAGTGGAAAGGAGGCCTGGCACAGAAGAGTCCTGGACACACCTAGCAGGACACAAGTGGTGGTTGTGTATCCTCAGTGTCCTCTAGGTTGTCCCGTGTGCATTTACCATAGAGGGGCTTTCTCCCCAGACAATGCATGTCCTCAGGCTGAGGGTCAGCTGTCAGGTCAGCTGCCATGTGGCACTCATCCCTGCCCAGAGTAGGGCCACAGTGGAGGCAATGTTGAATGAAATTAGGGAATTTCATTGTTGATGAGCTTAGAAAATATCAAAGTAGAGTTTAAAAGAAAAAAAATCCTTAGAATACAATCTTAAACTTGGCAAACTATTTTTTTAAAACCCCACAATAATAGATCCTCAAGCCTTATTTTCCCCGTGTCAAGTAGAACTTACAAGCACACCCCACACACATCCCCACGTACCCCTGTCCGTCTCTTAAGATGGCCCCCGGCCCAGAGTCAAGCACTCCATCACTCCCAGAACCAACAAGAGGGGCCAGGTCTCTGCTGGGGCCCCAGGCCTAGGGAAGGCCTGCCTCCTTCCCTCAGCTTCCTGGGAGGCCCACGGAACCCGGTATCTGGTCTGGCTGGAGTAATTTCTTTAACAAAAAAGCTACAGACACCTGCTCACACATTTCACTGGCAGTGCTGATTTTATGCTGTCACCTCGAGCCGCTGCGGCTTGGGGAGTATCTGACCACAAGCTCTGACCAGGTAGCGCCCTGTCTTTCCCACCCGAGTCCACTCCCAGGTTCCAAATGGAGGATCCGGGCTCTCTGAGTACGGTGCTTTCGCCCAGAGAAGCAAGCGTGCGGCTGGCAGGGCCGGAATGTGGACCGTGTTTACCGGTCTTTCATCAGAGTTAGGGCGCATGTCCCTCCTGGAAGCTCAGCTGCCAAGCGACCACTGATCGGTAGCCTCCCGAACTGGACAGCCAGCACGACTCGCTGTCACCCCCATCACCGCAACCCAGGCCTTCTGCCCGCCGCGAGGGAGGATCCGGGGCGCCTCGG